AAGTAGATTATCTCAAAAAGCACTTCATAATGTTATTATATAAACATACTACGATAGAGTTAAAAATTGCCCATGTCATTGTCCACATTACTTAGCAGTAGCATTTGGTTTATCTTAACTTCTTTCAATATATTACCTTTATGTTTGGTATTCTTGTCTTGTATGCAGGACTCCAACTTAGATCTCACAATTGGCCCATATGAAACATATGAAGATCGCCTTTTTAGTTATAAGGTATTTTTCACGGTATCTTTGCCCCCACATGTTTGTGGCATCTCAATTTGTTTATCAAGTCTGAGCCTTAAGTCACTTTTGCCACACACAGTTTTGAATTTTATCCTCTTTGGAGCACTCATTAAGATCATTTCACTGATGCACTGAACTCAGCTTTCAGCCAATGCTTATTTCCTGTTGTGAAGTATTAGTGGATTGCCCACCTCTTCTCAATAGCTTAAGCTTTTGGGTTCACTTGGTTGGTAAAGCTTACATGGTATCAAAGTCAGAGGTCTCGAGTTCGAGTCCTGGTAGAGGCATCTTTTAAGTCCGCCGCTCCCTTCTTTATTTCCACGTTTGCGCCTTGTTCAGGCTGCACGTGAGTGGGAGTGTTGTGAAGTATTAGTGGATTGCCCACCTCTTCTCAATTGCTTAAGCTTTTGGGTTCACTTGGTTGCTGCATGCAACAACAACAACAAAGCCTTAAGTCCCAAACAAGTTGGGGTAGGCTAGAGTTGAAACCCAGCAGAAGCAATCAAAGCACGTGAATAGCTGTTTTCCAAGCACTTCTATCTAAGGCTAAGTCTTTGGGTATATTCCATCCTTTCAAGTCTCCTTTTATTGCCTCTACCCAAGTCAACTTCGGTCTTCCTCTGCCTCTCTTCACGTTACTATCCTGGCTTAGGGTTCACTTGGTTGCTGCATGAAACCTAACATTTCCAACCTTGTTCCCTGCTAAGTTTATCATTTGAGCAACTTAAGATTGATCTCTCTCTTGATATACCCCAAGTCTGAAAAATATTGTTGTGTCATGAGATATTAATTTATGTTTATCTTCTGTGTGTTAATTCTAAAATTTGATATCTGCTCAGTACCTTTCCCTGCTAGGAAAATATCAGTTTTAGAACTTTATCTATAATTGTGTATAATGGTCAGGCTGTACATTTATAAGGATCTGAATTAAGTTTGTTCTGCATAATAAACATGGAGTTCAATACAAGTTTTAATTTGTTTCCACTTGTATTTACGATTCCAACAGGCAACTTTTGAAGCATTTGTCGGAATACGTGATGACACAGCAACTTCTCAAGTTAAACTCTTTGGTGATCAACTCCAGGTAATCTCATTAAATTTCTTTAAGAAAATATTAAGCTTTGTTTTACATCAAATTTGATCTGAGTTCAGGATTTGGAGAAAAACCTTCCAATGGACAATATTTTCAAATCAGACAGTATATCTGCTGCTCCAATTCGTGTGATCAATCTTCTCTACAATTCTGGGGTATGGTACAATTCTGACACTGACAGCTAAAAATCGGTTATTTGTAGACAAAGAAAATCAACCTTTTATTTTTTCATCCTGTTTGGATTATGATAAGTTGACAATACATTTTTTCTATGAATTGTGAGATTCAAGAAAAGTGATGAAACACCTGAATTTCATGAAAGAGATTCATATTGTTTTCTTGGCCATTTTTATTTGTTGCTTCCGTGAATGAACTTGCATTTCCATAACTTGCACGTTCACCGTAATACTTTCTCAATGGCATGGTTGTCATCTAGGTGGCATTGGGACTATTCTTTGGATTCCATCCCCTTTATTGTTGATTAACTGTTACTGTCATGTTGAAATTGCTTGAATCATGCCCAGGATTTATCATCAACTGCTTGAAATGTACAGGAAGCCTGTAATTTTTTTTGTGTAGTATTTACCCTCCATTTTCTTATTATCAATAAAATTTGAGCTTGTGGTGATGGTAGGTTGAGGAGATTCAAGAACTTGTAGGTGTGGTGCAGATATTATTTTTTTCTGTATAAATGGTGTCATGTCCTTGTCAACAGCTTCATGATATAACAGGACTACTGCTGCAGGATGTGAAAGGTCCACAAACCATTGCTTTCAATTTGCCCAATGATGAACGGATTGTGAATGAACGAGGAACTTCCATGGTTATGCTTAAAAACATTTCAGAAGCCAAGTATGCCTTTTTTTTCTTATTTATTAAGTTTAATTGCCAATTAGGTAGCTTGCATTCATAACAGCAAGGAAAAATAAGGGTTTATGCTCATTTTGTCAATTTTGGCTCTGTTATTTTCAGGTTCAAGCATATCTTAAAGCCTATAGCTGATGCCTGCATCAGAGAGGAACAGAAGGAATATGTTGATTTCGAGCCATATTATACACATATAGTCTGTCATGAATGCTGCCATGGAATTGGACCTCATTCTATCACCCTTCCAAGTGGTAAAAAGTCAACAGTTAGAAGGGTACATACTCAAATAGTGACTCAAAAAATCTCCGATTTTAATTCAACGCCAGCAGTAGTTTTCCATTTCCCTTCAAAACCATTCCATTTTCCCATCTATGTTTAATTGTGTCCACATAATTTCAAGATTTTGTCTTGTCATATATATTTAAAAATTAGTAAGTTGTAGAGATGGAAGTTTTGGTAAAAACAAAATATCTACAAATGACCAAAAAAGTTGCAGGGTATCATCTTTGGAGTGACACATTGATTCTTAGATGGTTTAAACCAGAAAAGTCACTGTAATGCAATTCAGTATGTTTACTTTTACCTAAAGTTTCTACATATGTGAAGCTTTTGCTTCTGTGGCAAATGCTGTTACATTTTTATAGTTTACATTTTTGCTTGGTATCTTCTATACTGGTGCCACTGAGTTGAGCTGCTTCATCCTGTTCTTTTCATGAATACATAGGAACTTCAAGAATTCTATTCAGCGTTGGAGGAGGCAAAAGCTGATATAGTTGGTCTCTGGGCACTGAACTTCCTTATTAAGAAGGTAGTAATTTCATCAATTCTTGTGTTATAATGGCCCTCGTGTTACCCTGATCATGCAATCAAGTTATTTTTCTATAATAAACATAGGAACCTATGACCTGTCAGTTGTTTGCCTGTATTTGCTTTTGCAATCATTTGCTTCTGTTCTGTTAGGGATTGCTTCCTAAGAGCCTGTCACAATCTATGTATGTCTCTTTCCTGGCTAGTTGCTTCCGGTCAATCCGTTTTGGACTGGAAGAAGCTCATGGGTAAGGCTGTATCTTCCGTACTAGCAAATGTAACTTGAATACGATAAAAACAAAAGTACCATTTTTACTGTCCTGGACACCTGATGATAAATGACTTAATTTATTTCTGAATTTAGAAAAGGACAAGCTCTGCAGTTTAACTGGTTGTATGAAAAAGGGGCTATTGTCTTGCACTCTGACGGAAAATTCTCAGTTGACTTTACAAAGGTAATTTTCTATACATTCAACTATCTTTTTATTTTCTCTTACCACTGCTCACTAGAGTTTGTATTGTGGAAGGTTGAGGAAGCTGTAGAAAGCCTGAGCAGGGAGATACTGACAATACAGGCAAAGGGTGATAAGCCTTCTGCCCAGTCTCTTCTCCAGTCCCGTGCCACCTTGACACAACCATTGAGAGTGGCATTGGAGAAGATAGAACACATGCAGGTAGGTGCCCCTGAAACTTCTCTTATGTTTATTTGTGCCCTGAATCCCATGGTGCACCGAGTTTCAGCTGTGCAGATATTTTGCTATATTCATTTTCATTCAGGTTAGCAGCGGTTACACCCTTATTTATGTTCCGTTTCTAGGTACCTGTTGACATTGCCCCGATATTTGGCACGGCAAACAAGCTACTTGCAAACATTTAACTAGTTGGATTCGGCAATTCAGCAAATGTTGAGCTTCAGTACCCCCAACAATGCCTGGACAAAACCAGGAATTGCTCAAGAATAAGGCAATGTCAAGCAAAGCTGATAAAAACATGGCGATAAGTGAGTGACTTTTCATCGGAAGGAAAATTGTTTAGCGCTCTTAAAGTGGTGTTTGATTAGTGAGAATGGGAATGCCCCTCCATTGCTTGCTCGGGAACTTAATCCAGCTTTGCCTGAGCATTTGTGAAGTATATTTCTTTTTTCTTTGAATCACTGGAACTCATGACGTGACCGTGTTTTCTAATCCCAAGTGCTCTTCTGTTAAGACTTTGAACAACAATTACTGCATTGATGTGTATTGTTTGTGACACAAACTAAGATGTAGGGCGTGTTTGGACGCCGCCTTAGTACGCTGCGCCCGTCCGTGCCGGAAGTGCGGCGTTGAAATTGGCTGCCGCACTTTTGGCAAGGTTGGGCGGCAAAATTGAACTGGAGGAGCACGCCGCCGCTGCGCCGCAACCGTGGTAGTGAATCAAACGGCTCCCCAAAGTGCGGCACGGTGTGGCCACCATCCAAACACGCCCGTAATATCTTAATGAATGAAGTAAGACTTATAATTTTGAAAGGAGATATTATTGCTCAGTTCACTTGCTTATAAGCCGTACTTTTTCAGACAACGAACATAATTTTTCTCTCACAACAAATCAGTCAACAGTACTTTCAGCCATGGCTTATCAACCAAGCGATAAGGGCATATATATATCGATCCCCAATGGCTCAATCTTTATGCACATTCTGACTCATCACATCCAGCTTATTACTTAGGCCGATGACACCCTCAATCATGCTTGATTTTCTAATGAGAACTTTGCAGTTCCATACTAGTTTTACAGAGGCATAAAACAGTAAACTACCAACACTCCACATACTTGACTAGCAAACAAGCTGATCTCTCTAACAGGCAAATTTTCCAGCACCGAACACATCGCAAACCAAGAAGCACAGCTTCTTCACGGGCCACATTCCCATGAAAACAGCTCTCTCTCTCTCTAAAATGATCGTTGAGAAGAGGGTCTGGTTGGCATATTCCCATGAAAGTTGTTCTCTCTACATGATCGTTGAGAAGAAGATCTGGTTGGCATCTTTCTTCTTGTCCAGGTCCTCGATCTCCCCTGCGAGCATGACAAATTGAGTCAGCACCGGTTCCCAGCCCAGTCCACCATGAATCCCCAATTCCCATATCAATTATCCGATCGCAAAAGGGAGGGGATTGCCTACTTGTGATCGGACTGACTTGAGCAGTCCAGTCTTGGATCACCTCGTTGAGGCTGTTGTGGACGGTCTCGTCTTCATCGGAGATGGGAGGCAGCCCGGACGCGGCGAGCAGCCGCTGCGTCATGCGGCGCTGCGCCATCAAGCTCACGCGGATCTGGTCGATCAGCTCCTGCGGGTAGACGGAAAGGTCACAATACCAGCACAAAAAATTTATCGGACATGGCAATAAATACGAAATATCGAGAATTTTAGAAATGTCGAGCCAGCAGATAAAAAAAACGGTATTGTTCTCAGCACCGGCAGCAGATCAGTCGCGGATTGGTGAAAACATAAGGGAAAGAGGCTACCTGCTTCTGTGTGAGGAGGTCGCGGCTCATCTCCTTGAGCGCGGCCGCCTGTTCCACCACCCGCTTCACCCGCGCCACCAGCTTCGCCGGATTCGCCTGCAACCGCCGCCGCCGGATCCCGTCAGCGAGGAAAGGAAAGAAGCGGTTACGGAGGAGGGTGACGAGAATACTGACATGGTCAGGGTAGGCTTCGCGGAACTCAAGGTCGAGGCGGCGCTGCACGTCGGCGAGGGTGCCTCTGGCTTCGGTGAGCGTCGACAGGACGTCGCTCACCGCCGGATGGTGCTCCGGCCGCCGCCTGCTCGGATCCGCCGCCATCCTGACCTAGCTTCGGTGGCGGAGGATCAGGATGCGATTTTTGCTGAACTGCTGGTCTGGTACCCGCTCGTGCCGCTCTGATTTTTGAGGTCCCAGCACACGATGCATGGGCCCACCTCTCAGCGAGCCAGCTAATCCAACTGCGCCAGTTTCCCCTCGGAATATCCAGTGTGCCCTTCGTGGCTACGCTGTAGCGTATTCCCATGCAATTTCACAGTTTTCTCACAAACACAGGAATGATAGGAATCATTCAAATGAACCAGCAGCCACCAGTAAATCAGCACTAGCTAGTATTAAAAGCGAAATTCAATGGGAGCCTTTCTCGATGCTAAATACAGCTCGGAGCCTCGGATCAACCGCAAGTGTGGAAATACAACACCACTTTCTTTATATTTTATACGTGGTTCAAAAAATCTATTTTATATAACAAAGAAATAACTATGAAGATGTTAAGTCGACAGTACATTCAAAGGGAACAAAAATCACGGGCAAGATGATGAAATAACGAAACGTTAACGACGCATCTCTCTTGCTGATACTTTAAGGTGCTCTTATTCCTCAAGATTCTTCGCAGCAAAAAAGCAGGAGCAGGATGAAACATGGGCACCACGGTGGATTGGTGGACGCTCTGGAAAATCTTCAAAATTGCAAACCCCAAAGGTCATGGAATGCCACTGGAAGGCAATTAAGTCTATCCAAAAAAAAGGCAGGATCTATTGAGAAGAAGAAATGCTCATCTGTTCGAGTAAAAATTTCAGGCTGTGTTGGCTATCTGATAAGGTTGTATTTTCCTTAACTTGCGAACTCAACGACCTCAGCCTCTCCATCGCTGTAGTCAGCCCAGGATTTGGGCTGCTCGGCTGCAATCGTCTCTTCAGTAGCATCTTTTACCGCCGCCCCTTCTTCTGTAACTTCAGGAGCTTTGGTTTGCTCAGGCTCCACTTCACCATCTTTACTTTCTGTGTGGTTTGTGTCATCCACGTTCTGCTTTACACCCCCACCCTCAACATTGATTCCACTAGATGCATCATTTCCTTCAGGACTAATCTGGCTACATTCAGAAACTTGTGGGGATGGAGTTACTGGTGACTCCACAGTACTATCTGGAGATGATAGAAGGTCCTGTGGTGAAGATGGAATACCACCTGGTGATGCTAAAGGACCATTTGGAGATGCTGGATGGCCATTAGGACTCCGAGATTGACCTGGAACAAACTCTAGGGCATTAGGGTTCATAACCCTGGGGGCAGACGTGTTTGTTTCTGTAGGGGCTTCACCACTTGTCAACACAGGCTTCTTAGGAAGTCCTCGGTGCCCTGATCTATTGTAGCCTCCAGCCAGACGTGGACCATAAGGTACCCTTGCAGTTGCAGATTGGTGAGGGTGCTTACGGAGAGGGATGGACAGCATAGGAGGCACATTGGCTGGTGATGGCAATAGCCCTCCATGTTCTCTGAAACCTGGGACAGCCATTGAACCAAAAGCTGGTACGCTGGATGGATTGAATGGAGCCGCAGCAGCAGAAAGTTTACTTGTCTCTTTAGCACCTTCTCTTGGTGTATCATTCTTTTCGCTCTCAGATAGTGAAGATTTCTCATTTTCACCTCCACTAGACAGCTGTCCTGGTGTATCCTCTCCTGAATCTCTTTCATCGTCATTGGAGGAAGAATCATTTGCCTCAATTACAGTTGGTGCTTCGTCATTTGGGGTGTCAACCTCCTCAGTTTGTGTTGCAGATGATGTGACCGGGGCAGGAAGATCTGTGTTCTTCTGTGCTACAGATGTCTCTGCTGGATCTGAGGTCTTTTTATGTCCTGTTTCTGGTTGATTGGAACCAATCAAAACATCAGTTTGCTCTGGTTTACCTCCATCAGGTGATTTAGTTACTTGTGAAGTATCAGACTTTGGTGACACTTCTATTGCCCCATCTTTCTCTCCAGAAGGGTGACCATTCATTTCTTTTGGGGACTTAGCACTTTCAGGACTTGCACCTCGGACACCTGTATCTTTTTCTTCTGTGTGTACATCACTCAATGCTTTGACAAGAGTCCCTGGTGCAGCTATTGCTACCTCCTTATATGAAAGTGACTTCCTTACTGTTTGACTGGCACTTGGTGCTGTGGATGGTATCACCTTGACAGCAGCTGTGGCAATGGCAGGGCTTGGTGGCTTGGAGTTGGGATTGGAAGAATTCTCACCACTGTTCGATGAGACAGCAGGGCTACCTGCTTTGGAATTGAAGCTTGAACTCTTCGCTAGTTTCTTTGCAAGAGGACTAGAACCAATAGGAACTGCAGCCTCACTAGGTGAAACTCGAGGGGAAGAGAAGTTGGATGTACCTCTTCCTTTGTATCTTCCATTCTCACTGTGTAGTGAATTAGTATTAATTTTTGCCAGATTTGACCTCCTCATGCCTGCACCAGTTCTGCGGCTCCCAGTGGAGCGTCCCTTTGGAACAGCCGCTTGCCACCCCTCATCAGATGTGTACTCTTCAGTAAAATCATCTTGAGGTATGCGGATTGCAGTGTCACTTGGTATTTCATCTTTCACTTTCACATACTCAACAAAGGTTCCATTCTCTTTTACTCCAGAGTTTTCATTCTCGGTTAACAAATTATCATTTTTAGGTGGGGGGCTCCTTCGATCTTCATCATCAACAAGTTCAGATTGGTTTTGCCCAATGCGACATTTGATCTATGATTCATAATGTGCATGTATGAGAATGACCATTGGTGGAATATAAATGTGATATAGTCTCAATGGAAGACCCTACCTTAGCACGGGCTTGTTTCCTTTGCATTTCCTTAGCCTTGAGCTCATCATCCGGGTTGATATAATCCAAAAGATCCGATACACTGAGAAAGAAAAATAGAAGATCAACGCTTAAGCAGCAAATGATCTACTTAAGAACACCATTCCATAGATAATTTTTTAAGCACTGCTTCTGACAGTATTAGGGTAAAGGAAACAATCACCAGTTTAGAGCAAGCTATCACCTATAAAATCCATACTGACACATGAAGATTAACTATTCATTAGCAAATCAAATAGAAACTTCTTCCTGTCTTTTTGGTTTCTTCAGTGAAAATATTTCACAAACATAATCAATTACAACATCTACCTCAGATGTCCTCTGCTTGCTATTGAAGCATCAGGCTTTGGAGTACCATTACGTGCTGCTTCCTGCTGCTCTAGTGCCTTGGATTCAAAGTATTCCAGCCAAGCAGAAGCATCCTGTGGAAAATATGGTTATTAGATTTCCTTGGTGCAACAAAAAAGGTAAATCATTTAACTAAAATTGGTGGCTAAGTGGAATTACACATAATCAAGCCAGCGTTTTCTGTTTACCTGGGTCCGAAGATCCTCTGATCCAAGCTTTGCTTGAAGTATCCGTAGAGTAGTCTTTTCATGTTGGACACTCAATGAGTATGCTTCCATTAAAGACAAAGCAATAGCAATAGCATGATAACTTGCCGCGGTCTGTCATTAAAACATTGAGACATAAGATGACCTTTCGATGTTAGCCTTTGTTTGAATCACAGACAGGTACTCTAAATGTTAGAAGTGTACAGATCAAAACTGATGTGAGCACTGAGTAGGCAGTAGAGCGTGCAGCTGTATATACATGAGAGCATAATACAATCATGCCAGAAACACTGGAGGAGGTTGGGTTGCCTACCTGTATGTGATCAGCGCCAAGCAACCGTTGGTTACATTTTAGAGCTTCGTGCAGGTAACGGAGTGCAACATGGACATTGCCCAACCCTTCTTCCATCATCGCAACATTGATATAAGTTGCAGCGGTGTTAGGATGAGAAGGGCCACATGTAAGGTGCAAAAGATATAGGGCACGATTGACATACCTGAAATATAACAATCAGAACATAAACAAAGTAGTTGAAACATAAAAATGGTAAATGAAATAGGCTCCACAGGTAAGTGGGAAAACATTAAACTAGAGTGTCGACCATAGTTTACCGTGTCAGCTTAAGTAGATGACTCAGTGAACTTACTTTAATGCCAGTTCTGTATGTTGCAGACGATAGTAGAAAACAGCAAGATCTCCATAGCTTTTCATTGTATCTGGATGGTCAAGTCCAAGTTCCCTCTCGTTAATATCTAAAGCCTTCTGTTGATAGATGGTTGCCTGGTTGAAAGAGCAGCAACATTTATAAAGATAAGCCTTCACAGCATAAGATAGAACAATGCTTTTGTGCATAAATAATTAAACACCTGACAAGTGCATATGTACTACAGGTAACTCAGAGAAGTAACATCATCGCATCGATTAAGCTAAATCAGCTTACAAGCTCAACCAAAATATGATTCCAATTTGAAACACAGTAACATGTCTAGGATAGATGCAATTTCATGACCACCTAATTGCATCTGCAAACATAGCGTATGCAGGTAAAATTGACAAATATTGTGGAATAGTGAATGCTGCTAGTGAGAGCTAATGGTGAAGTCCTAAGAAGAATATACCTGGTTGAAGTCGCCAGTATGATAAAGCACTACTGCAAGAAGGCTGTATGCTCCTGCCGTCATTCTATGATAAGGACCACAAACAGCAACAAGTTTTGCAAGAGCCTGCGCAATCATGTGCAGATTAGAATGAAGGAAACCAAATGAAGCACCAGTTCAAGAATTCATCACATATGGATGTAGTAGTAAGACAACGAATTATACCTTCGTGCCATAGTTAACAGCATCCTCAAGTTTCCCTTTATCCAGGAAAGTCTTGGATGACTCCAGCAGGGTGCGGCCATCAGCTGATGAGCATGTAACATGCTGCAAATAGGCAAAAAAAAAGGTTGATGTCCATGAATTCTCTAAGAATTTCTTATTCAGCTATTTCTTTTAGAAATGAAAAGGTTACCTTGTAGATAGGAACAACACTGATAATGTCCGACTTTCTGAATGGATGTGGCATATCCATGTCGTAATCTTTTGTTACTAACTCAAGTCCTACCTAAATTGGAGGAGTTGTTATCTGAATC